AGATTGGAGTGAAAACTGACCTTTTCCAGTCCTATGGCCACTGCTGAGTTTTCCAAATTTGCTGGTATGTTGAGTGCAGCATGTTCACAGCATTGTCTTTTAGGATTTGAAATAGCTTTCGTGGAATTCCATCACCTCCATTAGCTTTGTTCATAGTGATGCTTCCTAAGGCTCACTCGACTTCTCATTCCAGGATGTCTGGCTATAGGTGAGTGATCACACCATTGTGATTGTCTGGGTCGTGACGATCTTTTTTGTACATTTCTGTGTATTCTTGCCACCTCTTTTAAATATCTTCTGTTAGTTCCATACCATTTCTGTCCTTTATTCTCCCATCTTTGCATGAAATGTTCCCTTGGTATCTCTGATTTTCTTGAAGAGGTCTCTAGTCTTTCCCATTCTGTTGTTTTCCTCTATTTCTTTGCACTGGTCACTGAGGAAGGCTTTCTTATCTCTCCTTGCTATTAGTTGGAAGTCTGCATTCAAATGGGTATATCTTTCCTTTTCTCCTTTGCCTTTCACTTTTCTTCTTTTCACAGCTACCTGTAAGGCCTACTCAGACAGCCATTTTGGATTTTTTGCATTTCTTTTTCTTGGGGATGGTCTTGATCCCTGTCTCCTCTACAATATCATGAACCTCCATCCATAGATCATCAGGGACTCAATCAGATCTAGTCCCTTAAATCTATTTCTCACTTCCACTGTATAATGGTAAGAGATTTGATTTAGGTCACACATTAGTGGTTTAGTGGTTTTCCCTACTTTCTGTATTTCAGTCTGAATTTGGCAATAAGGACTTCATGATCTGAGTCATAGTCAGCTCCTGGTCTTGTTTTTACTGACTGTATAGAGCTTCTCCTTCTTTGACTGCAAAGAATATAAATCAATCTGATTTCAATGTTGGCCATCTGGTGAGATCCATGTGTAGTCTTCTCTTGTGTTATTTGAAGAGGCTCTTTGCTCTGAGTAGTTTCTTCTCTTGGCAGAACTCTATTAGCCTTTTCCCTGCTTCATTCTGTACTCTAAGGCTAAATTTGCCTGTTACTCTGGGTGTTTGACTTATTACTTTTGTATTCCAGTCACCTATAATGAAAAACTCATCGTTTTGTGGTATCAGTTCTAAAAGGTCTTGTCGGTCTTCATAGAACCGTTCAACTTCAGCTTCTTTAGTGTTGCTGGTCAGGGCATAGACTCGGATTACTGTGATATTGAATGGTTTGCCTTGGAAGCGAAGAGAGATCATTCTGTCGTTTTTGAGATTGCATCCAAGTCCTGTGTTTCGGACTCTCTTGTTGACTGTGATGGGTACTCCATTTCATCGAAGGGATTCTTGGCCACAGTAGTAGACAAAGTGGTCGTGTGAGTTAAATTCACAGATTCCAGTCCATTTTAATTCACTGATTCCTAAATGTTGATGCTCATTCTTGCCATCTCCTCTTTGACCACTTCCAATTTGCCTTGATCCATGGACCAAACATTCCAGATTCCTATGCAATATTGCTCTTTACAGCATCAGACCTTACTTCTATCCCCAGTCACATCCACAATTGTGTGTTGTTTTTGCTTTGGCTCCATCTCTTCATTCTTTCTGGATTTATTTCCCTACTGATCTCCAGTAGCATTTTGGATGCCTACTGACCTGAGGAGTTCATCTTTTAGTGTCCTAACTTTTTGCCTTTTCATCCTGTTCATGGATTTCTCAAGGCAAGAATACTGAAGTGGTTTGCCGTTCCCTTCTCCAGTGGACCACATTTTGTCAGAACTCTCCACCGTGACCCGTCCATCTTGGGTGGCCCCACACAGCGTGGCTTAGTTTCATTGAGTTAGACAAGACTGTGGTTCTGTGATTAGACTGGTTAGTTTTCTGTGACTGTGATTCCAGGCTGTCTGCCCTCTGATGCCCTCTCTCAGCACCTGTCATATTACGGGGGTTTCTCTTACCTTGTGCAGTTGTGCAGTGCTGGAGCAGTGAGCAGCTGAGAGGAGATACCCACGTCCAGTGCCCAGGAGGAGATACCCCAAGTTCAATGTCAGGAGCAGTGACTGTGATGTGCTGGAGCAGCTGTGAAGAGATACCCCACGTCCACGGTAAGAGAAAGTGGCCAAGGTCATGAAAAAGGTAGTGACTTATTCTCAGGACCAAGATCAGTTCAGTCCTCAGTCCTGTCTGACTCTGTGACCCCATGGGCTGCAGCATGCCAGGCCTCCCTGTCCATCACCAACTCCCAGAGCCTGCTCAAACTCATGGCCATTGAGTTGCTGATGCCATCCAACCATCTCATTCTCTGTCATACCCTTCTCCTCCTGCCTTTAGTCTTTCCCAGCATCAGGGCCTTTTCCAATGAGTCCATTTTTCCCATCAGGTTTCCAAAGTATTGGAGTTTCAGCCTCAGCATCAATCCTTCCAATGAATATCCAGGACTGATTTACTTTTGGATAGGCTGGTTTGATCTCCTTACAGTCCAGGGGACTCTCAAGAGTCTTCTCCAACACCACAGTTCAAAAGCATCAATTATTGGCCACCCATATCCAACTGTCATATCCTCCATGACTACTTGAAAAGTCATAACTTTGACTAACACGTTTGTGGGTAAAGTAATGTCTGCTTTTTAATATGCTGTTTAGGTTGGTCATAGCTTTTCTTCAAAGGAGCAAGTGGCTTTTAATTTCATGGATGCAGTCACCATCTGCAGTGATTTTGGAGCCCAGGAAAATAATCTCTGTCACTATTTCCAATTTTTCCCCATCTATTTGCAATGAAATGTTGGGACTGGATACCATGATCTTCATGTTTTGAATGTCAAGGTTTTTTTTTTTCCTTTTTTTTTTCATTTATTTTTATTAGTTAGAGGCTAATTACTTTACAGTATTGTAGTGGGTTTTGTCGTACATTGACATGAATCAGCCATGGAGTTACATGTATTTCCCATCCAGATCCCCCATCCCAACTCCCTCTCCACCTGATTCCTCTTGGTCTTCCCAGTGCACCAGGCCGAGCACTTCTCTCATGCATCCAACCTGGGCTGGTGATCTGTTTCACTATAGATAATATACATGTTTTGATGCTGTTCTCTCGAAACATCCCACCCTCGCCTTCTCCCACAGAGTCCAAAAGTCTGTTCTGTACATCTGGGTCTCTTTTTCTGTTTTGCATATAGGGTTATCATTACCATCTTTCTAAATTCCATATATATGTGTTAGTATACTGTAATGGTCTTTATCTTTCTGGCTTACTTCGCTCTGTATAATGGGCTCCAGTTTCATCCATCTCATTAGAACTGATTCAAATGAATTCTTTTTAATGGCTGAGTAATATTCCATGGTGTATATGTACCACAGCTTCCTCATCCATTCGTCTGCTGATGGGCATCTAGGTTGCTTCCATGTCCTGGCTATTATAAACAGTGCTGCGATGAACATTGGGGTGCACGTGTCTCTTTCAGATCTGGTTTCCTTGGTGTGTATGCCCAGAAGTGGGATTGCTGGGTCATATGGCAGTTCTATTTCCAGCTTTTTAAGAAATCTCCACACTGTTTTCCATAGTGGCTGTACTAGTTTGCATTCCCACCAACAGTGTAAGAGGGTTCCCTTTTCTCCACACCCTCTCCAGCATTTATTGCTTGTAGACTTTTGGATAGCAGCCATCCTGACTGGCGTGTAATGGTACCTCATTGTGGTTTTGATTTGCATTTCTCTGATAATGAGTGATGTT